GATTGCGGCACGATGTGGGTTAGTCCCCATCTGTTGCTTGCGTCTCATCAACACCATTGCGATGGAACGACTTTACATCATGATATGATTTCATGCGTCCAAGATGAATGGATGTGTACATGGTTACATATTCCGACGACTATGACATTCTGGATATTCATGGATGGTACTATTACCTCATGGATGATTTCCTTTTCATTATATATATATTGTTCGTGGTATCTGGAATGGCTATGATTTGCATTGATTGCTCACCGATATTTCTTTGCCGGAGATATGCAGATTGCTTACGAGCAGGCGCCTCTGTTGGACTCTTATGGCCAACCCATTTTCTATGGATGACGGCTGCGCGATGCGCAAATGCGGCAGCTGGGATGTTCACTGGTGGTCAAATGACGTGACAATAGTGTATTGTATACACCTGCATATGGGAGTGCGCTTCGATTGGTGGATGAATGTTTCACTTTTCATACAATCGAACCCGGCATGTTTCACAACGAATGAACGGTGTAGCGATAGCAAGTAAAAGAATGCACGACACGATTTCGTAGCTGAAGCCGTGGCCAGTGGAACGTTTTGTGGTGTTTGGACCGCATGATGAACAATGCGACCCAAATGGGGGATGTTAAAACCCTCTAGGCCCCGTGCCTAAATTGGGAAGCTGTTCTGAGGTCTGTGTTAGTGTTGCTTACCAAGTTCCATTGATCGCCATTTGGCTCAAGACACAATTGAGGTTCAAGATCTGATGTGTAGCTGCATTCACACGTGATCGGCATTGAGAGCGGAAAACACTTCGCTTGCGCTGCATTTGTCAGGACCACTGTTGTAACTATTATTCCTTCTCCCTTACAACGTTTACACGGGTTCGGCTATAACGGCACCGTCCGTATACACCTTTCTACGTGGTTGGTATTACAGCTGGAGGGTTCGGTGCACAGCGTCCCACGGGACGTCACCTTGCCGTCTCTTGACATTTACGTTGATGACCCACTGTTTACTTTTGACTCGGACAACCCGGAACATCGCAGGCTCTTGGGCGTTTCGCTACTTTGGGCTTACGTGGCTGGATTCCCTATAAAGCTTGAGAAGACATCATCAGGCTCGGAGGTCAAATGGATTGGCGCCCTTCTCAAAGTGGACCCCGACGCTAAAGCAATCATCGTCACCATTTCTGGAGACAAGGTAGGCGAGCTGTGTGATAGGATCACGCAACTCCTGAGAAGACCAGTTGTCGGGAGACGCCAACTCCAGTCGCTAACTGGGGCACTGTCTTTTGTTGCAGGACTGGTCCCACTAATGCGACCATTCTTGAGTAGCTTATGGTCTGCGCTTGCAACGACGAATGACGGCCCTTCGGCCAGATGTGTCGTGCACACCAGACGCATTGAGCCAACGCTCGAATGGATTCGCCATTTGCTGGGAGGAAAAGCAGCACCCTTCGTGCGGATTGTGCGGGCTTTCAGGCCAAACACGGGGGCTATAGTCATCACTGACGCTTCTACTTGGGGTCTAGGAGGCATCCTCATTGTCCACAGAACCATCGCGGAGTTTTTCTCGTGTCCCATTCCTCCAGAGTTTGTGCTGCGCACTCACGCGCTCCCTGGCCTGCCGAAGCACATGGCTCTTTGGGAATCCCTTTGCCTACTTATCGCTGCCAGACTATGGTTGGTACAGTTTCCCCTTGGGGCAATTGTGAGAGTCAAGGCTGACAACATTGCTGCGTTGCACCTCTTGGCAAGGGGAAAGGGTTCTGGCCCCGAGCTTTCCATGGTAGCCAGAGAGATTGCATTAGACCAAGCAAGAGGCCTGTATGAGTTCACGCTACTAGAACATCTCAACAACAAGACTGCCGACCCCTCAGCAGACAACACGACCCTGATCCTCCGCCGTTTCCATCTGATATGATAGGCCGGGCTCGTAGGGTTCCTATTTCAGTATCCGCTGATTTTTGGAAACTTCCACAGATCGGAATTCGGTCTCGGAAGGGTGAAAGAGCGCCGCGGCTTTGGGGCAGGGGACGCTTTGTTGAGAGAGGCCACGGAACAGTTTCGCTGAGATAATTGCGTGTGTTTTGGGTTGCGCTTAAATCGCCTCAAGTTTTCGTAGGTGGGGTTGCCATGGTGGAGTCTGCTGGCTGAACACAGCAGCTCAGGCTCAAGGCTCATGAAACGGAGCGTGGGGCCTGCCAGATGGCTCCCAGAGCCAAATCCGCCTGAACAAATCGTCTGGGCAAATTTCAGGCCTCCTTCCTCTTCAAGAAGGGCCCGCGCAGCCCGCGGACCTGCTGGTGAAACCTGCCAGAGCAAGGGTGGGTTCATCAGAGCATGCCAAGCCCTACCAACGTGGTTCTCTGGAAGAAGCTCTGCGTCACGTCCAGGCAAATCCGGATGATTGCGTGTCACACATTCAAAAAAAGAGCCAGGGCCACTACTGCGCAGGGCCCTCATGCTTCAAAGCTGAAAGGGTGGGCGAAGCTGGCAGCAGCAGCTGGACACACAAACCCCTACTGTCTGACTCCAACCATGATCTTCGCAGTCATGGGGGCTTTGGACAAAGCAGGCTTTCGATCAGCAGAAACTTACATGGATGCGGCAAAGCAAGAGCATCTGGAACTAGGCCACCCGTGGTCAGAACAGCTGACGTTGGCAACCCGCCAAGCTCGGCGAGCGTGCCAGCGCAACCGGGGCCCAGCCAAGCAAGCCCAGCCTTTGCCTTTGCTTGAAGTGGCACGGCTGGCGATGACGCCAAACCCAGCTGTTCCAGACGGCCCAGCGCACTCAGTCAGGTCAACTTTGCTCGCGTCCTGGTGGCTGTTGAGAGAGATCGAGGCCAGCAATGCCAAGGTCAATCACATCACCGTGGATTCGCTTGCCTGTTTAGTGCACTGGCGCCTACCTTCAAGCAAAACGGACTATCAAGGGCCACACGCACTCACTCATGTTGTTGCCAAGACGGCCCAGCGCCGCATTGTCCATTTCATCTCATGGAGCAGCAGGTCAACTGGGCAAGGGAACAAGGCTCTGGCTGGCTTTTCCCCACACTGACGGGAAACCAACCAACAAAAGCAGGGTGGGCAAACACGTTTCAGCAGGTGGCCCACTGTCTTGGTCTTCCCTTGACTTTCCCTTCGGGAGTCAGGAAGTACACCGGGCATTCAGCGCGCGCCTCGGGCGCAGTGTTCCTGGCACAGAACCACACAGAGCTATGGCGCATTCAGCTGTTTGGGAGGTGGGGTTCAGAGGTCTTCCGCCAGTATATCCGTGATGCTCCGCTCTCGCAGCTGACCCATCTAGCTCAGGAAGCTTCCTTGCAGTCCTCCCTTCGGGCTGCAAAAGGCCGAGCTTGCGGCCTTGTGGGCGCAGACGCGTGACCCACAGGCCTGGCGTGCAAAGTCTGGCATTCAGTCCCAGACTGTGGCCACTTTAGCCGATTGCTCTGCTGCAGCTCCCCTTGCGCCGAGCGTGCCTCTGCCAGAGCCCAAGTACGTGATCAATCGATCGCCTGCTGGGAAAGTTCACGTGATTGCCTGCAGTGGCGGGACCCTCCCGCATCACGCTTGGCGTACTACGTGCTTCTGGTATTTCGCTCGGCACAGCGCCGACTACCTGATTTCGTCAACACTTGGCGAGGGTAAGATTCGGTGTGCCAAGTGTTTCAAGCCTTCTCAGTCTCCTGTGCGTGCGGAGTCAGGTGACGAGTCCTCCAGTTCGTCATCTTCAAGCGAGTCTTCTTGCGCTTCGCAAGTGGGGTGAATTGGCAAGCCGACTCAAGTGGGGAGTTCTTACCTCTGCAGAGTTTGGACTTCTTCCAAAGAAGAGGGACCTTAGCTGCAGAGGTGACTCGTTTTGCCAATTGATACAAAATTGTGCCCCGCCTCGCTTGCCGCCGCGCTCTCACATGCGGAAGGATTGTTGATTGGAACAGCTTGTTGTGAATGTAACAATCTTTGGAGTGAGAGGGGAGATGTGGGTGGGTTCACCTTGCCTTCGATGCCATTTTGGCTGAAGGCTGGTGAGACTTCTTTCCCCGCCCGCCCACACCAGTGGGAGTTCTTACCTCTGCAGAGTTTGGACTTCTTCCAAAGAAGAGGGACCTTAGCTGCAGAGGTGACTCGTTTTGCCAATTGATACAAAATTGTGCCCCGCCTCGCTTGCCGCCGCGCTCCGCTCTCACATGCGGAAGGATTGTTCAAAGGTTATAATGGGTTCCTACCATCACCTTGACTCACATAGAGGTTTGTGTGGCGGGTTGCCAAAACGGAGACCATTTTGGGCCCAGGCGTCATTTTGCTGCCGCGTTTCAGGGGGGTGCATGCCAAGCGTTGATATCAGCGAAACCTGACAAAGTCGGTGGCGGGCGTGTGCGCAAGTCATGTCAGATGTCCCTGCAACTAGGCTTATGCCATTTCTACATCCCACTTTTCAATCGGTGAACCGTTCATTGAATCTTGGGAAGCCAGTGCTCATGTTACCACGTTTCGCCCTCAGAAATTGCCGCACAAATGCAGAGTGCCAACCCCGAAATCCAGGGTGGCCTTTGGTTTCTTTGTTGGAAAAGGAAAGCACCATTTCGTGCTGCGGACCTTTCCGCGAACCCGCAGGATTGCGTATGCCACTGGAGAAATGGTTCTGTGATTCCAAGGCTTAGTGGGACTTTAGCAGCACAGACACTTGAACCATTCCCAACTTCACGTGGGGTGTCTTTTCTTGAGCACCAACCCTTTTTCGGGATGAACTTCAGGTCCTTGTGGATTTGTGCTGTTTGTTTGGGAGCCGGTTTTTGGTTCGGTTGTAAATCAAAAGGAAACTCACCATTGAGGCGAATTGCGCTTGTGCAGTGCAGATTGTCGGGTGACTCAATGGAGACCCCTCCATCAAGCTGGGCAGACTGAAGCTGAGTCGCGAGGTGGCCATGGTTCAAAACCAATGGTATCCCATGTTGGAGTTGGATTGGGATGTTCACTGGGGGTACGGGATTTGGATTTTGACCCGAGTCGCCAGGTGGTAGAGGAGCGCCAAGCCATCTTCGGGGAGGTGCGGATGCTGCAGCACCAAAACTCTGAGCAGGAAGCGGCGGTCAGGGAGGAGCGCAGGCGCCGGGAGTTTTTTTGGCAAAGCTTTTTGGAGTTTTGGGATGTGGAAAAACACCAGTGCAGTTGATGCAGAGGCGGGTGGGGTGGGACGTTGGAATAGTGTGCAGATGAACATGGAACCGAAACAACTCCCCTTAGCGGAATCTGTTTTGGGAATCGGATCCCCTTTTTGGGTTCCATGCTTTTTGTTTGCGCCGCAGTAAGCCCTTGATTTTGATTATGGGGCCGCATTGAAGGAGGGGGGAAAGTTATCTGCTTCCTTCTGCTCCGGGAGTTCTCATCCATCGTTTCACGTAGGTTTCTTCCTGGAACCCCTCTTTGGACCGCTTTTTTAAGGGAAACTGAAAGGATGCCAGCCACCTGAGGCTTCTCTAGTTTGGAGAGGAACTTTTGAGCTATCCGAAGTAATCCGGAGAGGCTGTGTTCAGCATTTTGATCAAATGAGTACTCAAATGATGACGAGGGGCCAGAATTTCCAGCTTGCGAATTCTGGCAGTTGGTTGGACATCTTCCGCCCCTTCTTGGCCTAGAGGTGTTGGAACTACAAAGGACCATGCTTTCTTGCAAGTTTCTTTGAGGCTTTGGCGCATTGCGTATCGGGATCTGAGTGGCGTCTGATTTGAATTTCCGCTGCGAGCAAGACATCTGCAATATCAGCATACGATGCGATTTGTACACCTATGTCGCACCTGAAGAACTTCAGGACAATTTAAGGGAAGGGCAAAGGGCGCCAAGGGAAGCTGCCTGCTTTTCCCCTATGTGCCAACGTGCGCTCGGAGCGAGGCTGCGGGAGGAGGACCGCAGGTCGCTGGAAAACGCGCAGCTCCAGCTCCGCGAGGCGGAGCAGCGGCAGCGAGCCGCCGAGCGGCGCCTGGGCGAGCAGACGGAGGCGCTCCAGGCCGCCGAGGACGGTTCTCGGCTCGGCTCCGGGCAACCAAGTAGAAGCGCAGGGATTGGGAGAACCGAAAGCAGAAGAGAAGCCTTCAGGCATTTGTGAGTTCGGGTGGAAACAAGACCATTCTCAGTAAATTTGCGGGTCATTCGGAGGATGTCGCTTTGAGACTCAGTAAAAGTAAAGCACGGTGCTGCCTCCTTTCTTCAGGTGCTTTCAACTTGTGCCCATCGCACAGCGGAGGCTGGAAAGCCTGCTTCTTTAAAGTCATTCTGTTGTTGTGGTACTTAATTTGTTTCTGTTGTGTTTGTTTTTTTCCCAAGTGTGTGTCGTGCTGTTGGTCTTTTTTTGGTGTTGTGTTGATTGCGTTGTTGTGTTTTGTTTTGTTTTTGCCATTTCTGCCCTGGTTTGTGTTGCTGTTTCTTTTTGAAGCAAACACGTTCTCCGCTTTCTTTCTAATTGTTTCTTTCTTTTTCTCTATAACTTGCTCTTCTTGGAGTCTATGCTCGCACCTGCAAACTGGCCAACAAGACTCTGTATTTTGTGTTTTGCTTTTTGCTTGCTTTCCGTCAATCATTGTCTTCCTGTGTTGTTTTCCTTGCCTTTCGCTTGTTCTGGATTTGTCAGCTTCTTGTCTTCTTGTCATTTCTTTTTTTTTGGTGTATTTCTTTTCTATTTGGGGGAGCTGTCGTGCAGCTTATCTGGCTTTTTTACAGATATCAAGGGGGCCTCGCCTGAGTGGTTGGCTGACCACATGATTCGTGATCTCGGTCTGTGCTTTTTGGCGCGGCTTTGCTTCATCTATGAGGGGGAGGACAAAGGGCACATGGTTGGTAGCCCATGTTGTCGGGGATGTCCTTTTCAAGCACCTTTGTTGGCGCGATTTGGTTTACCAGGCAGACACCACTTCATGGTTGGTTGGCCGGATTTTCAGCAGTTTCTAATCTGAACACTTTATGCTGGCATGATTTGGCTCTGTCAGTAGGTTGGCCATTTTTCGGCGAATTCCTCTTGAACGCAGGTTTTGGAACATAGCTTCTTATCAGGGTTCCTACAGGGCGGGGGGAGGGGAGGGGCGCTTGAAGGTCAAGTTTGGTTAAACGACCGGTTTGCGAGTCAAATGCCCGTTCTCGCAACAACTGTTCAAGCAGTTGTTTTCTGGGCACAACAAGAAACGGATAGCCGCCAATTGCCTATGCCACTTGGGTATGAAGTTTGATTGAGAACCCTTTGATGGACCTCAAAGTTCGGGCCGGGGGGGGGGGGGGGAGATTCATCCCGCCAGTGGCTTGAGGAGGTTCCCCATTTGTGATGTGGAGATAGGACAAGTCCCGGCAGCTGGAGCTGCGCATGCAGGCCGCGGAGCGCGCAGCGAAGGCTCCGATACAAGCAGTCCGGTTTGTCCGGTTTTCCGGGTTCGTTGGCTCTGGGTGTTGAGCCCGGTTTGGTTTGCTTTCTTTGGGAGTCTCCCTGGTCTCGTGTTGAGCCGGTGGGTTCCTGCGTCGCAGGCGTGCAACGAGCGCGCCACAGAGGCGGAGCAGCAGTGCCGGGTCAAGGCAGAGAAGGAGGCGACCGAGTGCAAGCTGCCGCGTGGCAAAAAAGACCTCGATGGACGTGTCGAAATCGAGGTACTTGGACCCAAATGTCCGGTCTTCCAACTTGGAAGGTTAAGGGACATTCCCCTTTCCAACATCATTTTCCAATTTTGCACGCATGAGGCTCTGTTCCTGGAGAACCACGACCATGACTCTCGATGTTTTGACCATACACCATGACTCATCATGCAATTTCCTGAGTTCGAATTGAGTGTGAAACAGCAAAACACACATTTTGCGCCCCAGATGTTCTTCAGAAGAAGGCAACACACCCGCGCTTGTTGATCTTTTTAGCATTGACTTTCTGCAGGTTTCCCTTTCGAACTACCCAAAAAAAAGGGAGGTCTCCCAAACAGACTCACAACACAACAGACAAATGGTGCCGATAGGCACCAACTGTCGACACCCTGAAAGACGCAGGTTCATTCTGAGGGTTCCCAGAGGTTCGTTTGAGGAACCACCCGTGACTTTTCACCAACTGCCACTCGAGCAACCCTTAGTGAGCAATTAACCCCCCAAAGCTCCAAACCGATCCAAGCCAATCTAGACCTAATTTCCATCCCATCAACAAACACCACCAGAGTCCGGTTTAGTCATAGATCACTCAAGACGAAAACCAGTCTACTATTAGATACTAAGTACATCGCTCCTTAGCTGAGTCAGGAAGTACGCGGAGCTGGGGGCGGCGCGGCAGAAGGAGATGCAGGCGGCGCTGCTGGAGCTGCAGGCCCTGGCACGGGGCCAGGCGCGGCGGGGGGCGGGGGTGGGGGGGGTTTGGGGGGAAGCCAAAAAGGGAAGCGCCAAATTGGGCAAGCACCGAGGCGACAAATTGGGGGTCGCCGAAAAACCACCCAGGGCCACCCCAGACCCCCCCCAATTTTGAGCCACGCAGATTCAAGAGAGTAGCTCCTTCACTGGTCACACATTATGTGGTCGACATGGACAATTTGGAGGCATAGTGGGAGCCAACTGGCACCAATAGTTGCCGACTAGATGTTCAGCTCTGGACAACAAAAGATGCGTGTCTGTATGTCTCTGTATTGGTGACCCTCAACATGGGTGGCTTAAAAGGGGTACCCTCCAGCAAAGTCCACATCCCAATGGCTGATATCTTTGACGGGGAGCCTAAAGAGGAATCCTGCCAAGTTCAGCTTTTCTTTTCAATCCACTCAGGAAAGGGTCCCCAACCAAAATTCACAACCACGTGTCAGGGTCCCTTCAGATTCACAGCATCTCAGTTTGGGAATTTTGGGCGTCTCTGGTTTTAGGCGACTCTTTCTGAACATCGTGTTTGCTTCTGGCTTCCCGAAAGTTGTTTTAGGTTTCCCTCTCTTTCCTTTTTATTTGCTGTGGTTTCCCTTCTCCACCAAAAAATGAACCGCCCACAAAAGGGAAACCGCGCGCCTCCAAACAAATCATGCCGAGCGCACCGAGCCCCCGAAAAGGCAAAGGGGGAAAGCCCCGCGCGCCAGGAGCTGTTGCGCGCGGAGCTGAGCCGGGCCCTGCGCCCGCTGCCGCGGGCGCCGCTGGGCAGCTACCTGGCGCCGCCGCTCCGCGCCTCGGCGCGCGAACGCGGGAAGTGGGGTGTGCCAGTGCCACAAACATAGGCGTTCTTTTTGGTTGGTTGGCTTGAAAAATAGAGGGCCCTGGTCTAGATGGGGTTTATTCCATTTACCAGGGCCGTCTATGTTATGAAGGTTAGTAAGGGGCAGTCCCAGCCAGAAATGATTTACATGGTTCTGGGTAGACTATTTTAATACCGGGTTTTGATTGTGACTCAGGTGGTGCGACGCTTTTCCTAAGACAATGCAACAAATTGTGTGTCCTAAAACCCAGGACAATTGTGGGTGATGTCACCAGTGGGTTCCAGTTGTTTTCCTAAGACAACCCGGAAAAAAATGGTAATTGCCTGAAAAAGGGGGACACAGCGAATCTCTATTGGGGTGTTAGTGCCCAGTTTCAGCGTTTGAAAGGGCCCTGTTTAAGCATGTTCTACCTGGTACAAGGGTTAGGCCAAGATGAATCTGTAGAATCATAGACCAAACATCAATGGCTTTGGGGTGTGGGTGTGTTTCTGTTTTGTCTGGTTGGAGCCCCGAAGGGAACAACACCCAAAGAGAGAAAATGAGGGTTCCCGAATGTGACCAATGCAGTTGGGTCTCCTTTGTGCATCCTTCGGATGACCCCGAATAGCCTCCAGTTTTTGTTGACTGGGATGAAGCACCTGTTTTGTCCGTCTTTGATTCTTTTTTACAAAGGCCGAGGCATACACGTTCAAAAAGTGCAAAAAACGCCAGCGCTTGCTGTGGGCGGAGAGACTGCACAAGCGTACTGTATCGGGCAACATGTTGGGTTTTCCGGTGTATTGGGTTTGTGCTGGTGTGATTGGATCGCGGAACCTTCATTCATAATAGGACAGGCCAGCCCACATAGGGTTTGGGCTGAGACCATTTACAGCAAACTTGGCCTCGGTTTGCAAATTTTTGCAGCTGATTCCCTTTTTGGGTGCTGAAGGAACGAACATGGACATCGATGTTAGCTTTGGGGGCGGGAGGCAGGATCTCAAGATTTGCTGTTTCCCAATTCGAGAAGAGGGAACACCAGCTTTCCATGCCGACTATGACAGCGGCTCGTGTGGGCGTACGACACACCAAGATGGTTTCTGCAGGCTCCAAATATTCAAAGGGGAGGGGGGGTTGCCATTGGTGGCTGCACCAACTTCCACAAGAACCCCCATATTCCCTATCCCAATCCATGTGGCATTCGGGGAGATTGGTTTTCATTGCAGCTAGATTGCCCTTTGTGTTGCCATGAATCGACCTTTGAGAAGCCCCCGGCAACACGAGTTTGCAGTGACACGGGATGGGGGGATGTTTTCCCGCAAAAGGAAAAATCCGGGCATGTTGCACGCAGCAAGTTGCGCGTGTTGCACTCCGAGGATCCTTGCCAGCGGCGCCGGTCTTTAGAAGTCCGCTGCGCCAAGCGGCGCAGCTCGGTCGAGCAGATGAGTTGACTCTCTCAGCACTTCGCTTCCCACGATTGAAACAAATCCCAGGTCCGAGCCGATGTGTCTTGGCTGCAAAGGCGTTGCCTCGAGCCAAAAGAAACCATGGCGACAGCGAGGACCGGCTTGCGCGACTTGCCGTCCCCGTCCGCGGCTGAGCGGCGTGGCCAAGCGGCCGAGAGGTGTTCGCTGGAATGTTAGGTGTGTGGCCCGGGTGGTGAACACGTGGGCGTCCCAGTTCGTCAGTCGAGTGAAGGCGCAAAGGACTCAGGTTGGGGGAAAGAGGGGTCTCGCCTGAGGTCTGAGCCCATGCATCGCGACTTGCCGGGCTCCACAGGGTATGGGCGAATGTACGAACTTCAGAGCCACCAGTGTGACGGAGCCCTTTGTGTCGAGGTCACCATCCAGGGCCTCGTCACCGTAGCCTCATCCTCGTTTCACCGAATTGAAGGACCAAAGGTGTCCTCAAGCCAATCGATACCTACGACTCCCCGAAAGGCGCGTGGGGCTTGTACAGATGCTCGAGGTTTGCGACACCAGCCGAACCTGTTCGGCATTGGCCAGCCCGAGCTTTGCCAAAGACCTACAGTGCACTTTTCAAGGTGTGCCTGCACAAAGGCCAATGCACAGCCCACTGATCGTGAGCCTTACACCGGCTTAAAAAGCGGGAGTGCTAATTTTTAGGTTTCCCTCTTGCAGCCAACTATGTGAAAGTTCACAGGCTCCTTTTTCAAGCAGTCCACTAGCAGGGGTTCGATTCGCACTGTGGGAGCTTCAGTTTTCCTCAGGCCACTTCTGGCCCCAGCGGCATCCGCAGCCTGGGGGAATAGGCTGGATGTCCGACCTGGAGGAGGAGGTGGCGCGGCCGCCACCGCGCAGTGAGCCAGGCCAGGGCAAGGTCGACCCAGTTTTGGCAGAAGAATGCCAGGTTGATGATGGGGTTGTTTTGGGCTCGTTGCTTCGGACGAAGGAATCCACAAAAACATGTCTTGCCCAGGTCCCAGTGGGAGTGGGAGCCAGAGGCGTGCGCGCCGGGTCCTCAGCTTGGAACTGGTCTCGGGCACCTGAAGGCCTGAGCCGGATCCAACCCCCCCTCCGCCTGCCCCAAGCAAACCCAGGAGTTCCTGCGCTTTTGGCGCAAAAAGCCACGCGTAAAAAGCCACGTGCGCCGGACCCCCCCCACGATGTTGGGAAACGCGCGGATGTGCCGATTCTGCGCCCAGGGACGGCCCAGGACCTCCGAGTCCCAGCGCCGCGGCCTGCCCCGCAGCCTGCGCGGGAGCAGCCGACGCAGCCGACGCCTTCGGCGGCCGAGCTGGAGGCGCTGATCAACCAGACCCTGCGGGAGATTCAGGACTTGGAGACCAAGGCGGGGGAGCTAGGCCGTTTGCTTTTCGGCTTGGACTTCCTCCGTTTTCGGCATGCGTTATTATTATTATTATTATTATTATTATTATTATTATTATTTTTGATTGCGCCAAGCAACGCGGGAGCTGGCCGGCCAGGAGCAGTTGTGCTCGAAGGCTGAGCCTAGCGACCACCATGCTGAGGACTTCAATGCCAAATCAAAGCCTGAGAGCACTTGAAGGGGACAGGGTCCCCCCGTCATGAACAAACCCAGTTGATTCTGTGCAGGATCATGGGTAGATTTGGGAAGTTCCCGCCATTGTTGAGGAGAACCTGATGTGTCTTTTTCGAGGGAGCTCCCTTTTTTTGGTTGTAAAAGGGACGCCAGACTGACACCGCCAAATTTTTTAGAACCGTGTAAGCTCAGCCCCATTGCAGGACCTGCCAACGACTCTGACGCCAGCAGTTGCCCCAAGATGGTTCTCGCAGTTTCTCGGTTTCTCCTGTTTGGGTGGGTCTTTCAACTGCAGGTGCAACGTGGTGCAACCCAAAGGACAAATCACTCATGGTTTCACAAACGGACGCCATCGAGCGTGTCGTTTTCCCCCGTGTCATGGTCTGAAGCCCACCATTTTGGCATCTTGTCTGGAGCAAAATAAGGAAGTCTCTTCCATGTTCTTCTGGGGGAGGCAAGTACTCCACGTATCTGAAAGAACAGCGCTTTGGTGCATTTTGCTTGGATGTTAGGACTTTTAATTTTTTGCCAACTGATGAGTTTTCCATTGAACCACTAAAAGTTAATCTGTTAGCAGGGGAGCAGAAAGCAACCGAGAGCGGTCGGACAGAAAGGGGGGCATTCCGGTATTCCTCTAAGCTGGAGGTGGAGCTGCCCGAGCCGCCGCTGATCCCACGCGCGAAGCGCTGCACAGGAGCCTTGCCGGGGCTGCCGTGGGGTATCAGCGGCTCCGGGCGATTCCGGGCATTGGATTGGGGTGATTGGGGGGTACCCGGATTCTTTTTTCTTTGGTTTTAAATCTTTGGGTCTTCAAATTTGCGTTGAGCATTACCTCTTCGAAAGGCAAGTTGAAAGGCGTTTCGCCCTGGGGTGACGCTGATAGTTGGACATTTGGCCGGAAAAGACTGCACCCCGGAGGTCGTAGCCGGATAAGTTTGTCAGCCTGAGGGGTTCCCAGTCTGACAGGGTTTTGCAGCCTGATCTAGCCAGAGATGCAAAACAGCATCATAATATATATCTAGATATACGTGTCATCATTGCGTATACGCAAATGCACATACATCACACATTGTGCGCGCACACACGCACATACACAATGCATCATTTGCAGGATATGTGATATGGGCATGGGTCAAGCTTAAATCGTCAGGGAACCACAGGCTTTAGTCATGTTTCCATTTACCAGGATTCCATTTTGGGTACCCATTATTGACCCACAGGCACATATTTTACACGACAGACAAAGCAACACGCAACATACATAAATATGCATAGAACACAATACACAGATTCATGTCAAACAATCCGGTGAAGGCAAATGACACGACCTCCAGGACGGAGCACTCGAGACTCCGATGCCATCCAGGCCTGCCGCGAGTACTTGGCCCAGGCGTGCCGGCCGCAGCTGAAGCCGAGGCTCGGAGAGGGACATTTGCGTGGGGCTGGAAGAAACGGAACGCAGGACGCCGTACTCCTTGCCGTTCAGCATCGATGACAAGGAGCTCCGACGGCCCTGGGACGCTCAGCCGCTTTTTTCGTTTGGAAGCTTTTGGAGTCGGGCCCAAAGAGCCGAGCTGAGGAGAGCTCCACAGAGACCTTGTCCTTCAACCCGCTGGAGTCGCGAGTGAAACGTGCGCACCTGTGGGCATAGCGCTGGCCTGGCACAAAAAGGAACGAGGCTGCGCCAATGCGACAAGCTGCGCATGGCGACGTGTAGGTCACAGACCCATCTTTGATTGCCAAGTTGCGCCAGCCTTCGGTTCCCAGCCGAAGCGCTTGGGTGCTATCGGAAAGTCAGGCGCGGGATAGCCCTGCACCATGGATGGGAGGAAAAGGACGCGTTTTCCAGGGCTTCATGTCGCAACACCATAGGTGTGTCTTTTGTTTAGATCCCCCCAAAGCGCGAAGGGTCTCCTCTTAGCTTTTTTCGCAAAACCAGCCAACCAAAAAGAACATCTCCAAAGAAAAATGAGAAGGCACCCAACTGGACAAATTTTGTCCATGGCACCAGTTGGGGGGTGTTTCGGGGGTTTTGGAGGGGTTGGAGTTGGGGGGGGGGTTGGGGGGGGTGGGGGGGGTGGGGCTGTTTGGGGGCGTGGGATGGTTGGGACGGCGCCAGGGCCATGCGCCTCTTCGTGCGGGATGTGTCCGGCGCCACCAGTTGCGTGGAGGCCGAGGCCACGCAGAGCGTGGCACAGCTGAAGGCGCGGCGGCGAGGTCCTCAAATGGCGTGTTTGGAAAGGGACTTTGTTTTTTGGGACATCCAGGTTTTCCCCTCTGGTTTCGAAAAAATCAGATAGAGCAAAAGGAGCGCAGATGTCCTTTTTAGTTGGTTTGCTTTAAAAATAGAGGGCCCTGGTTTACCTGGTGGTTCAATCATCTACCAGTGCGATCTATTTTCCAAAGCGGACACCTATGGAAAGGAGAGTACCCTCAAACCAGGATCAAAGGGAACCAGAAGGACTCCCCCTATTTGTGGGTGCCCCTATTTTGAGACAAATCCGTATGGCCACGGATTGTACTGGGGGACCCTTTGGTGGATAATCATTTAGCTTGGGATTTATCTCCAACCACTCTTCAGCGGCGTTCCTATTCAAATTCATAGTCATATGGAAGTTTCTGAACATGGGATTCGGATTTCCTGTTGGTTAAGGGAAACCAAGCGGAAACCAATTGTAGCGGACCAGGATTTGGAGAAACACCCGTGGGATTATGAGAGCTCGAAGGAACCGGGACCCTATGTTCCTTTGGGCTTTCATTTTTTGCTGACTTGTCGCCCCTTTTGTTTGGTTGTATGTAGTGAGTGTTCTTTCCCAACAAAAATCAGGGCTGAGTTTTCCTGACCTCTTCCAGTTCAAGGGTTGAGTTCGCTTTGCTGGTGTCATCCTCTTTTTTTTTTATATCTGCTTTGTCTATGATGTCCTTTGTTTTTGGAGTTTTGATTGGATATGAACTCCGCTGCTAAACAATTCGTGCTGGCAACGGTGCATGTATAAACATCAATGCACTTGATGGGGCCCTGCAAGCAAGCCAACAAGGCGTATGAGTTACGGCGCAGACTTTTACTTTGTTGGCGCAGGTCAGACTGCACGGCCGCAGCTGTTGCAAAGGTCCATCACTGAAGAAATTACAAATCAACACCTGGAGTGCTTTTCTGCGCTGGTGCTTAGGGCGCTCGGAACATGCACAGCCCATTGGTGTCTCATTTGTGCACAAAAGGTGTTCACAGTTCGAGTCATTTAGTCGATCAACAAACAACGCCTTTGTTGGGGTCTTTGTGGGAGAACAAGAAGTGAGACACACACACACACAACACAGACACCAGGCAAGACAACCAAACAAGCACACAACAGTATGAATACATTTGTTCAAACTGATCAGGCTGACCACAAGAACAGTACATTTGTTCATCAGTCGCAATGACGAGGTTTAGCAGCCAGTGGCCTGAAAGGCAGTGCCAACTTCAGCACCGATTCTTCAACACAATGCAGGTAGGTCGTTACGGTACCAATCAGGCCCGGATTCAGGATCAATCAACCAGGATTCAAGACAACCTCCTCAGCATCCTCATATGCTAGTCTGGCTGTGAAAAATATTGACGATCATGCGAGAGAAGCCATTCGATTGTTTTCTATCATCCCAGTTAAGGTCGGGACGGTTTTTGTGCCTGGCAGGGAATTCCAGCCAACGTCAAGGCAATGATCCCACGTCAACATCTTTCTTGAATCTTTGGGTTGACAGAATATATCATGCGCGGTTTTTTGATGTCATATGAGCACAGCAACTTTTTTGTTTCTCCGGGAATCAGAAGACATTTTCGTGATGTTTCAGATGGCAATGAGCAGCCTGTTGAACCGACTGCAGGACCTATGGATGTTGACAGAGTAGAAAGCGAAGGATAAAAACAGCAAAGGTTGCGCAAAGACAAAGGAGGAGAGAAAGGCAGCACACGGACAGGAACAGGCGGCAAAGGGAAGCATGACTATCCTAAGACCAGCCCAGGTGCTGCACCTGCCACGAAATCGGTACCTGTCCAAAGTACTGCCATGTCAAAACACACCTCGCAGGGTTGGCCATGTTTTGGCAGGTACCTTTTCTGGGTTGAGTAAAAGGGACGCCAAAAAGGAAACCCACCCTATTTTGACACACACACACACACAATAACTATGTGCCCAAGTTTCTAACTAATGAAAAGGTGGATCCTGAAGTATGCCGAAGTCATTCTGGTTTCTATTCTCCAAACATCTTTCTTTGGACTCTGTCTGCGATCTCGAGTCCCAGGAGCAGGTCGCCGGCTGCAGCGGCATTCCCTGCGGAGAGTCTGGCGCCCAAGCTTTTGTGCGGAGCGCTTGGCTGTCCCGAAATTCAGGCAGCGCCTCCTCTTCGCCGGGCGCTCCCTGCAGGAAGTGGAGACACTGGCAGACTGCGTGGCACTTGGTAGCAGCCGGGCGAAGTGGCTCGCTCGGCGCTCGCTCCGAGCCAAAAAGCGAGGTGGCTTGCAGGAGGAGTCCACGGTGTTCCTGTCGCTGGACCTCAGCAGCTTGGCAGCGGCAAATTGGAGAGTCCCCGCACCTGGGGTCAGCTGAGGCGGCGGCGGCAAGAAGATCCTTTGGTCGCAAAGAGTCGTCTTCTCCATTGGCAAAGGAAAGGAAAGCGCAAGCAAAATCCATTTCGGGGGTCCGATTCCTGGAATTGGCCGAGGCGCAAGAAGAAGACCTACACCAAGCCCAAGAAGATCAAGCACAAGAGGAAGAAGGCGCCAAACGTGGCGCATTGAGCGGGTCCGATTTGTCGTGTTTGTCCCACGAGTGGACTCCACCAACTGGTTTCTTTTGGATTCCATTTGAAACAACTTTGAGAGGTGAAGCTCTCAGTGCTGAAGTTCTACAAGGTGGACTCCAACGACAAGGCGCGCGGAGGGCACGCGGCAGGAATCCACGTCCCCCGCAGACTTCCGCCCGCATGGCTCTGGCAGGTCACCCGCTTGCGCCGGGAGTGTCCTTCAGAGACTTGCGGCTCGGGAGCGAGACACTCGGAGCGTGAGACCTTTGACACATCTTTTTGCGTCCCTTCGGGGGGCAAGTTTCCGAGTTAATGAGGGCACCTCATGGAGACTGAACTCAGGTGTTCATGGCGATGCACTTCAACCGCTACTACTGCCAAAGCCCTAAGCCCGCCGTGTTCGATTCCGCGGAATCGGTGCGATCCGAGGTGGCAAGTGCCACCTCACGTACCTCATCAAGAAGGATACGCCCAGATAACATTGTTGTGTGCGTGTGTCTCCACGTGTGTGCATGTGACACAAGACAAGGAGACCCATAAAATGATTGCCCTTCCTTCAGTTTGCCTTCAAACCGACCCAAAAAGTGGAACCAAAAGAAGATACCCCCATACAAGCCTATGAAAAGAACAGGTGTAGTTCCGCAAAATCCCCTAGACCGGAAGCCAAGTTTCCGACTGCGAGTGCATTGGTGATGTGCGCTAGGAGTGAAGGCAGGAGTGGGGAGCATGGCCTGAGAAAAAGATTGACCGCAGAATGGGGAGATTGGCGTCTCTTTGAAATCTGCTATAGACGGAAGCCAGCGGCTGAAGCTTCACGACCAGTTTGGAGAGCCTCTTGCTCTGTTTGAGGCTATGCCATTCTGCAGCCGTGGCTTGAAATGGCAATGGCCCATGGCCGCCGAAATGATGCGCATCACAAGGAGCCAACTCTCCCTTGTCTTTAAAGAGTCAGAAGCCACATGCCTTAACATGCCAAGAGCCCCGCTTCCTTACCGGGCGCCGTAGCTTGTCAGCCGAGATGGGCTGCTCACAGGCGTGGTCCAGCGGAGTCGGATGACTCCGAGTTTCGGTTTTGAAAGGGAAGCTAAGAGAAGTTCTTTAAGGCAAGCATTGGGCTTGGTCTTGAGACACTCTCGCAAGGTTTTCTTTTGCTCGCACGTTGCTACGGCTCGAGCTAGTGCGAGTCTTCTCCGTCCGCAGCTTTGGGCCCAAAGCCTTTCTGCGCAAGGAATTGATGCAGTGCGGGGCCTGCGGCCCAGCGACGTGTTCAGTTTGGTGTTAAACGGAGAACCGAGGGCAGCGGCCTCTTTGGACTATTTTGCCTCGAAACCGAGGCCAATGGCCGCACCCAAAGGTGTGCCCAATGTGACAGAGCCAAGAAGACGAGCAGGACATTCGCGAGAGATTGCAACCTGAGAGGTGCGGAGAGGGAGTTGTCATGTTTTTAGGGGACCCCCCCAAAAAAACACAGACAACAGCATGGTGGTCTTTTGCGGGCAACTACAATGAAACTTCACTATTTTGGGGGATCCCATAAAAAAGACACCGAGAGCTGAACTTTGGGGGTCCCGCTTCGACGCCGGGCCCCAACCTGCAACTGGCAAGGACTTGCCGTGGACATCGATGGGCTGAGGGCGCTGGTGGCAGCTCGGGTGCTGTTTGCTAGCTGAAGATGCGAGCTGACAAACTGCGGCAAATCAGGTTCTGCCTTCGTAACAGTGTAGAACGCCACAGGATCTTTTTTGTTTTTCTGGTCGTCTACTGTTGGTTTGGGGGAAGACATGGGACAGGGCTGAAGACCATTCAGCCAGCACCCAAATCAAAGGGACCCAAAACTCAAGTCGGGTGCAGCTGATATTGGGCCGATGTAGCCAGCTTACTCATACCAGATGCTGCTGATGCTGGTGCTGTTCTTCTCGGCCGTCACGCTGCAGGTATCGTTCCGGACTCTAAGCAGAGTGGATTGGGCCATTGCGGCGCGTGGTTCAGGAAACCTGGATCTACCTCATGGCGCACACTGGCGCACCCCGGTGATGCTCATCGAAATGCTGCTCGTTCCCCGTTTTGCTCCCGACCATCTCACGTGTCTCACAAGCAGATGGCCTGGGTGACGTGCAGCGCGCAGAGTGTCGCAAAAGCTGGGATTGGCGCAAATTGCGAGCGGGCTCGCACCGTTTGACACGCTTGGGGCCCATCTGGCCAGGCGGGCTCGGTCAAGACTGGGGAGACAGAGGAGGCCGCTTTCGGGCAGTTTGAGTCGCATGGCCTCCGTCTAACTTGCAATGGAATGCGAGTCGCCAGATTTGCCTCAATGACAGCCACGCCGAGTCAGTGAGGTGGCAAGCTCAGCATCTGGGAATGCGGACTCGTTCCATTCAGAGACCTTTCCGGAGAAGTGTCGCATGTCTCTTGCGCTGCACTACGAAGAGGCGCATTGGTGCTTGCCAAACTGCTAGACTCTGGCGGTGCTGGGCTAAGGACGGCCGCGAATCCCCGCACGGCGCAGCCCGCGCGGCCAGCGCAGTCGCCCGCGCAGCCGGCGCAGGCGTCGCCTGCAATCTTGCAAGAGATCGGCAGAGGGAGCCACCAACACTTCCTTGGACAGTTGAGCCAGCAAAACCCGGGTAGATGAAGGTTAGTAAGGGACGATGGGGGTTTGGACTGGGTTTCCAGGCGACGAAGGGAGCGGCCCTCAGCTTTGGACTGGGCTGGGCTCGCAATAGACGAGTCGAGGCCTGGAGCCTGGGGCCAATGTCCGGGTTGTGGGCCTGAAGGGAGACGGCGCTGGGAGCCCCAGAGGTTCAAATGAGAGCAGCGAATCCTTTGGAACCTCCTGGAAGCCGAGAGGAAAACCATTTGTGCGGTCCCCCTTTGATATCATATGGGACCATATGGACAGATCTTTGCACTGTGAGGCGCTGCGGCTCAACGGCGAAGCCGCCGCCACCGCCTGAGTGGCTCAAAAGTCTCGCGAGACTTTTGGGCCTCGCCTGAGGTCCTGGACAGCTGGAACGCGGCCACCAATCGCTGGCCGGGATGCACGTGGGCCATCAGTCACGCGGAGTGTGGAGTGCGGCAGTGATCTGCTCAGCGCCAGGAACGTGCGGCTCCGCAGCGGTGAAGTCAAGGCCATCCGCCCTGAGAACCTGGAAGAGGCTGCATCGTCTCAACAGGGCTGAAGAAGTCCGTTCGCCTTTTCTGTTCCGATTCTTTTCTCAGGTTGTGGGGCTGCGAGCTCCGGTGAAGGATCGGCCCTCAGCCCTGAGCTGCCCCGGGGAAACGGCTCGTGTGCCAGGCGCCTGTGCCCTTGAAGGAGACGGGACGGAGTTGCCACGTCCGCATGGCTGCGCGCTGTTGGCTGCGCAGGAGGAGCTGGGAGAGGACCCGCCCCTCTTGGAGGTGAGAGGGGCAAGATTGGATCAGATTGGATCAGATTGGATGAGATTGAGATGAGGTTTGGAGCCGGCATCGGGAAGGCTCAGAGCGTGCCCAGGACCGGGGAATCTGCTCAGAGCATGAGATAGCTAGCTTGCAATAGGCTGCGCAGAAGCTGCTGGAAGCGTGGCTCACTTGGCACGGTATTTGCGCCCAACCTTTTTGGCGGACACCATTTTTGTTGGAGTGGTTGAAGGGAGCCGAAAGGAAGCCATCCATCCATTGATTTATGGTTCCCCCAGACAGACCCACCTGCGAATTGCACGCTGAGGCCCTTGAAGAAGTTGGACCTCAGCGTGCCACCAGAGCTGCTGCAGCAGGCGGGTGTCGGCCACTCGAAACCAGGGGCATGAGACAATTTGTTCATGCTGGGGTTGATCAACATTCCTGCCCGAACATGAGCATGGGTAGCTTTTCCCATTTAGTGGTGAAAGTCGCTTTGTTTGCGGTTTCCCTAGTGGCCACCCCATGTAAAGGACCTTTTGATCAACTACCAGGTCCCTTCATGTGAGAGACTGGGTCGTGCGCCAGGCCAAGAGACGCCCAGGCTGGAAAGCTTTGCACACTCGAGCAACGTTCAAAAAGCGTCACCGGTGAAAATTGACACCGTCCTCCACTGGGAAATCTGGCTTACTCAATACATCTGCTTGTCAATTGGGGACACAATGAGGATTGATGGCGCATGTGCAGACTTTGAAGCGAGTGTGACCGGGTTTTTTAGGGACCAGGGTGCCTCGATACTGCGGGATTCGGATGCGCTCTTTCCGCCCTTCCAACCCTTCGTTTGGGGGAGCCCATCCCTTTTTGACCCACATTTGTTCCATGGCCAGATGTGGACTCCGAGCCTGACACGAAGCTGTTGTCCTCGGCCTGGCCCTCATCCGCTCCTGAAAGTGCAAATGCATGCGGTAACGTTGACGTTGACGCTTGCGGGTTTAGGGTGACGATGAGCGGGTGGTCTTGGACGATCTGGACTTGGACCTCCAGCTGGGCGCCGAGTGACGTCCATGCAAGTTCGCAAGCCGGCGACCGAAACGGAGGCTGCGTTCCAGCATGAGCGCCACCGCACGCAAGGCTCCAAGGCGGGTTCGGTGAGTTTAGAAAGCTTGGAGGTCCCAGAAGCACTCAGAAGCACTCAGGTAACAAAAGCACCGTCCGGTGACTCGGGCGGAGGTTTCGAAGCTTCGCTTGCGCTTGCCTCAAGTCCTTTGCATTGTCAGATTTGCCGGCCGAACAGCGCCCGGCGAGTTTGAATTGTTGTCTTCAAGCGAGCTTTGCGCAAAATCCGCCAACCGCTCTCTCTCATGTGGTTTTTTGGGTGTAGCAGACTGCATGTCCTTAAGATGGAGTTCGATGCCCGCAGCTTTTCTTTGGCTGGTCACCCAGCTGCAGGACATGTCTAACAGAGCGTTCGCTCAGATTTCCTCGCAAGTGGTTGATTGCCATGTGACCTGAGATTTGCCAGCAGAGCAGCTTGCGCTCCTGTTTTTTTGCTTCAGCTACCCACGTCTTCACCCACGTCTTGAAGTCTAGCGCTGAAGCCTTGCGATGCCATGGGCTACCACAGGTCCGCTCAGCGGCCTTGCACCCTCCGGCCCTCGTTGGTGAGCTCCGAGCCAGGAGCCGCGGCCGCGACAGCCGGAGCTTTGCGGAGCAGAAGGCCGAGAGAAGTTGGTCATGAGTTTCTCTCCGAGCTTCAAAATATGTTTCAATGCGTGTTTCATCATGTTTCATCGTGTTTCATCATGTTTTTTCAATGCGTGTTTTTGATTGCCACACTTTTCAGCTTCAGGCCGGCCGACGCTTGGACCTTCGGTCTTGGCCTCGGGGGGTCTCTTGCCTGGCCTGGCTGGTTGGTCCCAGGTCCAGGTCGAAGTCTGCGCCAAGGCCTCCGAGGCTCGGGTGCCGCCTTCTTTGATTGCGGCCAAATCTTTTCACTTTCCGCTTATCACTTGCCCCGCTTTTGCCTTGAGTTTCCAGGGAGGCCTTGCCACGGCGGCGCAGAGAGCCCCGCGGAGCCTCGCGCTCCCGGGAGCGAGAGCCGCGAGAGCCGCGAGAGCCGCGGGAGCCGCGGGAGCCGCGGGAGCCGCTGCCGCGGCCAGCGCGGGAGCCGCGGGAGGTTCCGCCGCAGGAACCAGTGCCGCAGGCGAAGCCGCGGCGCAGCAAATGGGATGACCGAGGAGATCGAATGCGTCACGAGCCTGTTGGAATGAAACACTATCTCACGACTCTGTTCTGGCCGGTTTTCAGTGACTTAGGAGACGGTGCTAGTCCAGCTGGTGCCGTCCCCGTGCCAGAGTGGGTCCGAGATTTGGAGCTGCAGGTGCCGTTGCCCCTCGGCAACCCGACCACTTGACTCTTTGTTTTTAATCAGCGGCATCTGAGGCAACCTGTGAAGCAGCGGGTCAGGTGCAAACGGGGTCTCTCTCGAGGAGTTTTTTGGTTCGTCCCGCCCAGGCACAAAACCATGAGGCTGAAGGCGGTGCAGATCCGCGTGCTGCTGGGCAAAGGTGGAGAAACCATCAGGAACATTTGCGCGGACCCAAAGAGTGCGGAATCGTGCGGATCCGAACTCATCGTTTGGGCGCTTGCGAGGTGAACGCACCAATGCGGACATCAAGGTGGACCACGACCGGGTGGCAGATGAGGGTGCCTGCCTGAGCAACTGCGCCAAGCGCAAGAAGATCGGCGCGCAGGTGACATCAATATCACTGGAGATGTGGAGTTGACAGAAGCAATCATCAGGGAGACCTTGGCCTCCAAAGGCGTGTTGCCTGCTTTGCTTGCATGCGTGCCAATTCGTGCCCCAAAGCCCATGAGACGATCCGCGCGGATTTGAGGCTGTCCGCTGCCAGAGGATGAGATCCACAATCCTGAAGAGGCGGACCTCTCAATCCCGGAGGACATGGTAGGCGCAGCCTGACAGGAGACACAGGAGTGGATTCGTGGGAGTCTAGCCAGGTTGAGTAGAATTTACATACCCTACCCACATACCCTACCAGTATGTATGTTTGTTTGTATATATATATATACATAGAGAGAGAGATGTATGTATCTAATATTCGCATGTTGCCGGCCCACATACTAAGACCTGTGTCCAACCGACAGGGGCAACCTCAATTTGTTAGATGGTGCCCAACATCTTTACACCACGAATCTTGACCATTCCTGCAGTCCTTGTCCAGGGCTGTTCATCGGAAGAGGCGGTGAGCACATCAAGGCGCGAAGACTCTGCGGGCCGCGGGGTTTTGCTGAATGAGTAGCCCGCCACAATTCCTCCGTTGACCATACTCCTTTATTCATTCGTTTATTCATTCGTTCGTTCGTTCATTCATTCATTCATTCATTCATTCATTCATTCATTCATTCATTCATGCATGCATGCATGCATGCATTCGTCCGTTCGTTCATTCATTCATTCATTCATTCGTTCGTTCGCTCATTCATTCATTCATTCATTCATGCATGCATGCATGCATTCGTTCGTTCGTTCGTTCATTCATGCATGCATGCATGCATGCATTCGTTCGTTCGTTCGTTCATTCGTTCGTTCGTTCATTCATTCATTCATTCATTCATGCATGCATGCATGCATTCGTTCGTTCATTCATTCATGCATGCATGCATGCATTCATTCGTTCGTTCTTTCGTTCATTCATTCATTCATGCATGCATGCATGCATTCATTCGTTCGTTCGTTCGTTCATTCATTCATTCATGCATGCATGCATTCATTCGTTCGTTCGTTCGTTCATGCATGCATGCATGCATGCATTCGTTCGTTTATTCATTCATTCATGCATGCATGCATGCATGCATTCGTTCGTTCATTCATTCATTCATTCATGCATGCATGCATGCATTCATTCGTTCGTTCGTTCGTTCGTTCATTCATTCATTCATTCATTCATTCATGCATTCATCCGTTCGTTCATTCATTCATGCATGCATGCATGCATGCATTCATTCGTTCGTTCGTTCGTTCATTCATTCATGCATGCATGCATGCATGCATTCGTTCGTTATTCATTCATTCATGCATGCATGCATGCATTCGTTCGTTTATTCATTCATTCATGCATGCATGCATTTATTCGTTCGTTCGTTCATTCATTCATTCGTTCATGCATGCATTCATGCATGTTCGTTCGCATGTTCATGCATGCATTCGTTCGTTCATGCATGCATGCATGCATGCATGCATGCATTCGTTCGTTTATTCATTCATTCATGCATGCATGCATGCATTTATTCGTTCGCTCGTTCATTCATTCATTCATGCATGCCTGCATTCATTCGTTCGTTCGTTCGTTCGTTCATGCATGCATGCATGCATGCATTCGTTCGTTTATTCATTCATGCATGCATGCATGCATTTATTCGTTCGTTCGTTCATTCATTCATGCATGCATGCATTCATTCGTTCGTTCGTTCGTTCATGCATGCATGCATGCATGCATGCATGCATTCGTTCGTTTATTCATTCATTCATGCATGCATGCATGCATTTATTCGTTCGCTCGTTCATTCATTCATTCATGCATGCCTGCATTCATTCGTTCGTTCGTTCGTTCGTTCATGCATGCATGCATGCATGCATTCGTTCGTTTATTCATTCATGCATGCATGCATGCATTTATTCGTTCGTTCGTTCATTCATTCATGCATGCATGCATTCATTCGTTCGTTCGTTCGTTCATGCATGCATGCATGCATGCATGCATGCGTTCGTTTATTCATTCATTCATGCATGCATGCATGCATTTATTCGTTCGTTCGTTCATTCATTCATTCATTCATGCATGCATGCATGCCGCATTCATTCGTTCGTTCGTTCGCATGCATGCATGTTCATGCATGCATGCATGCATGCATTCGTTCGTTTATTCATTCATTCATGCATGCATGCATGCATTTATTCGTTCGTTCGTTCATTCATTCATTCATGCATGCATGCATTCATTCGTTCGTTCGTTCGTTCGTTCATGCATGCATGCATGCATGCATGCATCGTTCGTTTATTCATTCATTCATGCATGCATGCATGCATTTATTCGTTCGTTCGTTCATTCATTCATTCATGCATGCATGCATTTCATTCGTTCGTGCATGCATGCATGCATGCATCGTGCATTCATTCATGCATGCATGCATGCATTTATTCGTTCGTTCGTTCATTCATTCATGCATGCATGCATTCATTCGTTCGTTCGTTCGTTCATGCATGCATGCATGCATGCATGCATGCATTCGTTCGTTTATTCATTCATTCATGCATGCATGCATTCATTCGTTCGTTTGTTCGTTCGTTCGTGCATGCATGCATGCATGCATGCATTCGTTCGTTTATTCATTCATTCATGCATGCATGCATTTATTCGTTCGTTCGTTCATTCATTCATTCATGCATGCATGCATTCATTCGTTCGTTCGTTCGTTCGTTCATGCATGCATGCATGCATGCATGCATGCATTCGTTCGTTTATTCATTCATGCATGCATGCATGCATGCATTTATTCGTTCGTTCGTTCATTCATTCATTCATGCATGCATTCATTCGTTCGTTCGTTCGTTCGTTCATGCATGCATGCATGCATGCATTCGTTCGTTGATTCATTCATGCATTCATGCATGCATGCATGCATTGGTTCGTTTATTCATTCATGCATGCATGCATGCATGCATCTATTCGTTCGTTCGTTCATTCATTCATGCATGCATGCATTCATTCGTTCGTTCGTTCGTTCGTTCATGCATGCATGCATGCATGCATGCATGCATGCATGCATTCGTTCGTTTATTCATTCATGCATGCATGCATGCATGCATTTGTTCGTTCGTTCGTTCATTCATTCATTCATGCATGCATGCATTCATTCGTTCGTTCGTTCGTTCGTTCATGCATGCATGCATGCATGCATGCATTCGTTCGTTGATTCATTCATGCATGCATGCATGCATGCATTCGTTCGTTTATTCATTCATGCATGCATGCATGCATGCATTCGTTCGTTCGTTCATTCATTCATTCATGCATGCATGCATTCATTCGTTCGTTCGTTCGTTCGTTCATGCATGCATGCATGCATGCATGCATTCGTTCGTTGATTCATTCATGCATGCATGCATGCATTCGTTCGTTTATTCATTCATGCATGCATGCATGCATGCATTTATTCGTTCGTTCGTTCGTTCATTCATTCATGCATGCATGCATTCATTCGTTCGTTCGTTCATGCATGCATGCATGCATGCATTCGTTCGTTTATTCATTCATTCATGCATGCATGCATTCGTTCGTTGATTCATTCATGCATGCATGCATGCATGCATTTATTCCTTCGTTCGTTCGTTTGTTCATTCATTCATTGATTCATTCAGTGCTCCTTGCTTCATTTATAGGGTTTCGGGGACACAGACGGGTTCCTCTGCCCAGTCCACAGGCCATCCGTGAAGCTTGCGGTGGAAGCCTCTACATTGGTGTCAACGCTACCGGAGGGGGTGGCCCACACAAGATACAGATCGTGGGAGATCAAAGAGAGACTTGTCGGCAGCTAGAGAGAGAGAGGGAGAGAGAAAAGAGAGAAAGACTGGTCAGAGAGTCCGTGGGCCCGGCAATTGCTTCCTGACCAAGGCGAAAGCCAAAGAGCTGGTTCGAAATCGCTTGAAGGAGTGCGCTGAGCTAATCTGAACTTGATGGCAAAGGGTGTGGTGTCAAGTGCCAATGACGTCCCAATCCAAGGGGAAAACTGGGTATCCACCTTTCTCATGGCTCCGGACCAGAGTCACACTGAAAGCCCGGGTAGATGAAGGTTAGGGACAATCCCAGGAAGCAGCTGCTGCCTTGGTATTTTTCCTCACGTGGGTCGACACACCGGGCTTTGAGTGGCTCTGTCGACAGGAGATGTGGGAGCAGGAGGCCAAGAAGTCGAGCCGCCAGGCCGAGGCGACGCCCTGGTGGCCGGGACCCGAGACCGGATGGTCCGCTGCCGTGTTCAGCCAGCCTTCGCCTTTGTTTGAAACTGTCCCCCCCCAAAGAAAAGGATTCGAAATTTCCTAAAAAATCGAGCAGTTCTGGTTTTTGCATTGGCGCAAGCTCAGCCACGTGCGTGGTCTTGTGTAGACTGGGAGGTTTTGAGTCTTCACGGAAGGCACGAATCCACGACGTCTGGCTGGTGGGAAGAGGACTGGGGTGAGCCCAGTTGCAGCCTCAGAGTCGAATCCACGCTCGAATCGAGGCGGTTTGAGTTCGGATCTCTGGCGAGGTCATTTCCCGATGCGGCCCGGTCCCATGAACTCCTGGGGGCCCGGGCACATGCCCGTGGGATCTATGGGCAATCTGCACAATCCCATGGCCATGGGTATGGGTCCCATGGGCCCGCCAGGCCCCATGGGCCCCATGGGAAGCCCCATGGGAAGCCCCATGGGAAGCCCCATGGGCCCCATGGGCCCCATGGCGAGCCCCATGGGCCCCATGAACCCCATGGCAAGCCCCACAGGTCCTATGGGTCCTATGGGGAGCCCCATGCAAAGCCCCATGGGCTCGATGGGCAATCCGAATGGGATGCCCTGTCCCGGTCCGGGGCCCGGCCCCAGGCCAATGGGATCAATGGGATGTGTGGCAACAGGGATGCCTGCAAGCCGGTGGGCGCCGAATCATTCGCCACTGGGGCAGCAGAGGATGTTATGTTTCGTTTGTTTGAATGGGAGAAGCGACGATTGCCACCTCAGGTTTTCCACAGCCAACGACTTGCCCAAGGCTGCTCCAGACGTGGCTTCCATCCAACAAAGCGGCTGGCTTAGATGTACTGCACCTTTGAGCCCACTGTTAGCTTTCCAGGTGTGGAGGCCGAGCAAGAGGACTGCCGACCGCCTGCCGAGACCGAACTTGAAACGTGAGCCCAGGACAATCCTTGGGCCGGCATCGTCCCAGAGTGCGAGCTGCCCAGCGAGTGACCAAAAAGGAATCTTGCGCGCCAGGCCTGGCGCGGAAATGGAATCGAAGTGACGCCGGTGATGGCATGTTAACCGCCGGCTAGCCTTTGGCATTTTCCTTGCGCCTTTTCCCCATTTCTTGGACCTTGTGAACCTTTCGGCTCAAGTCCACCGGGACAGCTTTTCCGCCAATCGAGAGCGGCCCGTGTGAGAAGTCCAGGTTTCCATATTCGAGCCTTGGCTGCATAGTTGCGCTTTGGCTTGGTGAAGAAAGTTGCTCACGAGTTGGACCTGAAGGGCTTACTGTTCTTTTGGTTCTGAGCCAACCAAAAGGGGGTGTGACCAGATGCTTGGATTCCTTTTGGTTTCCCTTTTGAAGCCGCTTGGGGCTTGATCCTCGGAGCGAAGCTTCCGCGGCTCTTGTCGCCAGTCATGTCGCCCGGGTGGCTGGCGCTGGCGCTGGTGGCGGCTGTCCAAGGTGCGCTAGCGGCGCTACGGTTTTCAGTAGATGGAGCACCCCTTGTGGAGTTGGTTGAAAAGGACGCCCACAGGAAGCCCAAATCTTTTTTTTGGGTCTCCCTTCCACATACGGCACTGACACCTCACTTTCGGATGGCAGGGGCCATCATTGATGCCAATGTGATGCGCCGGGAAGACATCGACCCCAAAAGCGGGCGCGTTCACAAGGCGCGTTGTCCGTTGCAGAAGGACACAGAGCAAACTGGAGAAACTGAAGGAAAAGCCGGAAAGACACCATGCCAAGTGTGCAGCCCAGATCCATGCTGGGGCTTGCTTGTGCACACACTTGAAAGCCGAGGTCAGAGAGGAGTGTTGAGGCTGGGCCCTTCCACGCAAATGGGACGAGAAAGGTACTTGGGTAAGAACAGATGTGGGGCGGGTGAGGGTCGTTGAAGCCTTTACCCGCTACGTGAGGGTTTTGGGATATTGGGCAGGTCCCCGCTTCGGGCGACGTGGTAGAGCACCACGCGGACGCGGCCCACGCGGCCCACGGGGCCCACGCACACAAAGCGCAAAAAGCGCACAAAGCGCAGAAGGCCAGGCAGTGTGCGGCTCGTGGTATGTTGGCACAGGGCTTGTTCAGCCTTCAGCTGTATCTGGACTTCTGACACCTATGAGATCTATAAAATTTGAAGGGACAAACCGCGCCCTGTCCAAAAGGGCCCCAAAGATTCATACCAGGAAGTCGGGCGAACATTCCCAGCCTTGGGTTCAAAGGCTTCAAGCGTCTTGATGGGCGATAAAGTCCTTTGGACATGTAAGGGAACCTGTTGGAGGCCTCGATTTCCCCTTTTTCTCTCCAAATCTATTGATTTGCGTCTCTGGCTGTCTTTGAGGAGCACAAGCATCACAAGGAGCACTCGCACAAGGAGCTGGCGGAGATGTTGGAACAGGAGTCTCACCTGCCGGAAGGCCTTCTCTTTTGCTCCCAGCCTGGCTGAAGTGGAGGGCTGAAGAGATCCTAAAAAAAAAAACCTTGTTTTTTTCTTGGCCGCCGAAGTTCAAGTCGCCAGGCGTGCTGGACGCCTCGCTCCTGGAAGTCTCGGCACAGGCGTCGCAGGCGTCGCAGGCGTCGCAGGCCGCGAGCCTGCGGGAGGTGATGCGACTCGTCGCGAAACCCTCCGATCCCTGCGAGCTCCGGTTGGAACTTCGGGCAGTGGGCAAGATGTGAAGCGACACCACATCCGGTTAAGAGGAAGGAGCTTCAAACGCCTTGCAAAGAGGTGTAAAGGCTTCAAAGGTGAGACCACAGCAGCAATTGCGGGATTGGGATTTCTGGTTTCAAGTTGGCTGCGAAGTGCTCAGCAAGCTTCAGTAAGTGCCTGAGGCATGTGGCAACATGAGCTCCCTTGAAAGAGTTTCTGCAAGCTCCACAGGCCTGTATGAAAATCTTGGCAGACTCATAGCCTGAATGCAAGTCGGTCAGCTGTGTCAGTTTCCGTTTTCTTTCTTTGTGCCCCTTCTGTGGGGTTGGTTGTAGGGAAGCCGGCGACAGCCACCACGGCTCCTAGTTTGAGTAGGGCTCAATGTCTCTCTCAGGTTCGGAGTCTACTGCAGGCTCCTTGGCGTTTTGGGGGGGCTGGGGTTCCCATTGGCCCCTTAGCCGCCGGGAGCCGCCCCAGGCGGCTTTTAGCTTCATGTGAAGCTGATGCCATTCTTCGCATGCGATCTTTAGAGTTTTCATTGGGCTCAGCCGAGGAGAGTATTTGATGTTGACGTGTTGCAGAAGACCTGGACAGGCTCGGGGCGAATTGGCCTCGTGGAGTCTCCGCGTCCCAGCGCTGCCAGGAGATATCGTCATCACCACAAGCTGGAATGATCCCTTGGCGGCTGAGGCCGCTGCGGGTTGTTGGGCAAAGGTTTCTCCCAGGCATGGCCAAATGTGATGTTAGATCCTTGCATGGGTATTCAAGCGTTCGGGCACAGTACCTTAAGGAAATGAACATGCGGCCGCATGTATGGATGCTCATTCCTTTGGGCATAAAGGCGACCCACATTGCAAGCAGTCAAGCAGCACCTGCGGTTTTTCGCGGCGATGTTTCAGCCATAGGTCATTCCCACCAACAAGGAGGAGAAGCGATTTGCGACGGACGTCGCCAGGAAACTGATGTGGCTGCCGGACATTAGTGCGCGGGTCTCGAAAAAGCGATGTGTCCCCAACTTGCCTACGGATGTTGGGAAGTCAACGTTAGGACTTTCATCAAGCAAGTCATTTGAAGGAGAAGCCCCAACAGCTTCACTTCAAGTCAACTCTGTGTGGTTGTCTCTTGATTGGCCTTGGTCCTCCGGCGATAAACCGAGTTCGCTCTAGTCTATGTGGTATGAACTCGGATGCTGGAAAGCCCAAGGTCACAAATCTAGCCCATGTGTTTACACGAGGTTCGATCAATATTTCTGGTATTGCAGGGTTCAGCATGTGGGGGAACTCACCAAATTTCCCGGAACTTTCAGGGAAAGTCACGATTTCATGTTGCCCGTTGCTCAGATGCTACACCCCACTTCATACTGCACCGTTCAAAACAGCACCACACATATCAGCAGCCTATAGTGGGAACTCATTCGGTTTTGGGCCTTTTCCTTTTGGTTTGCTTTTGTTTGCATGTCTTTCAGTGGTTGTTTTCCCGAATGCCAACCCACAGGACGGTCCCTTTGATTCCCGTGTTGGGACACACCATCCAGCGAGGTCACCAACCGAGACTTCAAGAACCTGGAGGTGATCTCCTCCAGTGTCAAGGTCTGGTCCTCCGGCTGGGCCACCAAGGCAGGGAGTGGAGGTTTTGTCTCCGCGACCTCAGACTTTGAGCGTTTTTCAGTCTCAATGGTTTACGAAACTGCTCTGTTTGTTGGTAGATGTTGTTCTTGGACTGACAGGTGTTCAAGGTGTCCTTCGGTTTCTGTTTTCCTTCGGCTCTTTTTTCTTGTCATGTTTCCTTTTGCGTTGTGAATCTGTGAGCTGGTCAGGTGGAGCGGATGCTGGTGACCATGACCAACGACTTTGACACCAAGGCGTCCCGAAGCAAAGCTTTCTGAGCTGCGCACGGACGCGATGACGTGAGGCCTACCCCTACGACCAGCAGACCTTGCAGGTGATCCTGGCCTCGGAGAAGCTGATGGCGGACGAGCTCGCCGGGCACCGAGTTGGATTGGACGAGGATCGGGGCTTGGATTCGGTGGGTTTTTGTCTCAGGTGTTGAAGCCGCACACGGACAAGACCCTGCTTGGAGCCGCCTGGCAAGGAAGGAAGCAGCTTATGAGGCATCAGCGCCATGGATGTTGGGTCCGGATGTTCTTAGGTCAAAGACGATGTCCTGACTGGCGCCTTGACGGCTTGACGGCTTGACGGCTTGACTGCTCGACGCTGTGGAAGTTCCGGTAGCGACTGAAACCCAGGCACGGGCTTCATTGGGCTGGACGGCACCGCCAAGCCCGGGTACAACATCAGCAGCTTCCAGGAAGCCGACGCGCTGCTGGTGAAGAGTCGCGGCCTCTTCGAGATTCACATCCTCCGCGGCCTGGCTGGATCGGATCCGCAAGCTTCTGCTGTCCCATTTAGAGACAAAAAATTAGGGGCCAAACGTGGGGGCAGAGCTGAGGTAGCCCAGCATCTGCCGGACGGCAGCTGTTCGGCCCCACTTTCATCCTCCTCAGCGTGTCCTACTCAGTGTTCTTCTTTCCCATGGTGCCAGCCTCACGCGCGAAACGTTGCAAAAAGGCAATCTGTGCACCCTCGCTACGGTGGAGTTGGAGTGCACCAAATCAAGATGGGGATTGAGTTTTGTCAACTGGTACCCTTTGTGGGGTTGCTGTACGGGGAAGAAGGAACACCGTTGCGCCATTTTGGGGTTGGGTCAAAATTACATCACCAGGGGGACCTCAGGTTTAGTCCTTGTCTGGCTGTGGGTCAAAAGTAGGTACCCCAAATGGAACCCTGGTGAATGGAAACATGGACTAAAACCCAGCGGTGTTTTGGTGGTTTAATTTTGACCCAGACCCATCTACCAGGGTTTCATGGTTGCAAACCCTATTTTGACCCACCGTCATTTGGTCACGCTGCCTCCCGCGAGGTGCCGGCCTTCGCCATGCCCAGGGTGGCCTCGGGCATCATCTCCTTGTTGGGCGCCTCGCACGGGCGTCCGTTCTCGGTTTTCCCTCGAATTTCTCGTTAGACCTTCTCCTCAAAAGGATATGAAAACAAGACGCCTGGCTTGGCAAGCGAGGCATGGTGACCTTCATGCCACTCGGTGAGGTTGTTCTCTTGCTTTTTCCGTGTCGACGTGAAATTCGCTGAGGACCAAAAACAAAATGCCAGACTCATGGACGGACGTTTACCTGGAGTCCATCTGCTTGCAGATCGCCTGCGTGTGCATCTTGAGCTTGAGCATGGAGATGCTCGGCTGCTTTATGGCCCGAATCAAGGCCCGAGTCTCAGCCTTTGCCCCGCAATTTCCGCAAGCCGAGGATTGTGTTCCACACCTGCAAGAACGAGGTGCAGCTTCTCAATCAGCTCGGAGTTCGCACATGAAAAGTATCAGGACTTTGCGAAGCAGCTGAACTTCGAGTACAAAGTCGCATTTCCGGTCCACTTGCCCAGACACCTCCTTCCAAGTCGGGCCTTTTTTGGGGCGAACATGTGGTAGGTCGCGTCTTTCCTGATCTTCTTTCTGCTCCTCGCCTTTAGCGCCGGGGGGTTCAATGACGTTTGCTGCTACCTGGCCCCTTGGCGCTTGAAAGCCGGAAGTCCTGCCGACTTCCGTCGAAATCCTCCGAGGTGCGCACGCTCATCTTTCTGCTGATGGAGTCTTGCCTGGAATCTGATGATTTTTTGAATTTTAAGCGTCAGCGCCAATGGGAATCTCGGGGCTCGTGCCATGGACAGAGCCCAGGTCGGGAATTTCGTCCGAATCTACAGACGGCGGGGACGTCCCTTTTGTGCGCGTGTCCCTCTGTTCATGTTGTGCTATGGCGAAACAAATGGCACACTCAAAACCCAAGAGGGGACTGTCCAAGCGAGAGCTCGCCCTTGTCAGTCGCCCTTCGCCAGGACGCGGCCGGCGCAGGCCGAGAAGGGCGCGGAGGGAGCGCCCGCGGAGCCCGCGGAGCCCGCGGAGCCCGCGGAGCCCGCGAAGTGAGCCCAGGCGAAACGAGCCCATGCTACGGGTGGCCATCAGAAGATCCTTGCGAGTCGGGTGCGAGTCGACCGAAGACTGGCACTGATCCGTTGGATCGAAAGCTGCGGCAACAAATGTGACACTGCGAGATCATGCCTGGAAGCTTTTGGCTGACCTGAGCTATTTGAATCGCTAAGTTTATTGCTGAGAGGGTTCGGACCAAGCTGCTGCGATCCTTTGGGCTCCTGAGGGCATGCCAGGGAAGATGATGCCCCTCCAAGAGCCCACTAGTCAAAGACAGATCCGAAATCTGAGCATCCACGGGATTGCACAATCTACGGAGACAGAAACAAAGACATCTATCGTACACATTGCGCGCAAATGAGCGCATAGGCGCAGGCAGCAGGCGTGGCAAGCAGGAAGGCAGGAAGTGGAGATCGTGTGACACAGGCTCTGACCATGCCCGATGACCGCGTTCAGCGAGAGGCGCTTTGAGTGGTAGCTCTTTGTCGGCTGCATCGGCACCTAGAGCTGCTGAGGTCATCGTGCAGTCGCTGAAGAACCTGGATGCTGCTGCCCCAGTTGCGATTTTGCCGTTTTGTATTTTGTGCACCTGTGCAAGACATCGAAGACATGAGGATGCCACCTTGGTGCGGGTTCTGGGGCAGCTCATGAACGCGCACCCCCAGGTGGTGGGCGGCTCGGGGCACGGAGAGAGCACGCCGTCAAACCTGGGGAGCTGAGGCGCCCCTGGTGGTGAACGCAGCCTGCCCAGACCTCACCTTTGCGCGGGGCTTATCCGGTGAAATGCCTGCGACTGGCCTTGACCCCAGCGCGCGCGCGCGGTTTTGAGCCATGTCCCAGGTCCCCACAAGCGCGATCATGCGCAAAAGGTCGATGGGCATCCTTTGCCAGGCGCTTGCTTGATGTGTCCAGCTGGGTGTATATTTGTATGTATACATAGCATACATATGTATATATAGGTATTTGTTGCATGTTGCGTTGTGTGAAGCGTTGTGGCGCGATTGCGCAATCTCTTGTACACAGCTGTGCACACAAGGGGTTTGAGATGATGCATTCGTCTCGACCAGGTAGGCAATGAGGGCGGCCTCATCGAGTGCCCAGAATTGGAGGCTGCCTTCAACAGCCCGGTGCTGGTGGGCAAGAATCAGCTCGGGCGCTACACGGTTGGCCAGGAGGCCGGATGGCATGGCAGGATGTCGGCTTCAATGTGCGCATGCCCTGAGGTCTCCTTTGCAGTGACCATGAACGAAGAGAACAAGCCGCAGGCTTCGAACTTCGAATCGCGATGTGATTGCTTGGCCTCAGAGTGGGTGCCAGGCCTTTGATCTTCAGCCGCTAGGCCTAGGCCCGGCCCTTGCTTGGCTGTTTGCCCTCCGTTGCAATGTGCAACTTGAGGTGTAACAGGTGTCCCGAGCATGCCGAGCATGCCGGGCATGCCGGGCTTGCCTGGCATGCTGCCTTTGCCCCTGCTACCACTGCCGATGCTGCCGGGCATTGCGGGCGGGACCCTCCCGGCGACTCTGCCAGCTGGCCTGTCTCTGCCGACGATGCCTGGCCTATCGCTGCCGCCGCTCCCAGGGACGCTGCCGGCGACGCTACCGGCCACGTTACCGGCGATGACGGCGCCAGCGACGCTGCCGGCGATGGCGGCTCCGGCAATGGCGCCCGCCATGGCGCCGGCACCGGAACCGCAGCCGCCCGCCCCCGCAGCACCTCCGCCGCAGGCAAGGACAACTGTGACAAGTGTCAACAGATATGTGAGTCAAGAGTGAAGTGCGACAGGGCCCATTGCATGAGGCCATGAACGGCGATCGAATCCTCGGCACCTTCCTGGGAATTGTGAGGCACGGCAGAGAGGGTACCTGAGGCAGAGAGGGATAGAGGGAGCACGCCAGGAATGAGCTCAGTTGTGTTGTACTTGGCGAGTCTCATTCGCGAATTCCTAGGACAGTAGATGAAGACAAAGGCTTTGGCTTCATTACCAGCGACCAATTGAGAGCAACTGGTGTCAGCCCCGCACTCAATGACTCAAGTCCCAGCTTGCACCCCGATTGACCATATCTCTCCAAGATGAAGACTGCTACGTGCACAAGCATTATTTGGGCAGGGAGTTTTCCTCAGGGCCTTCGCCTCAGTTGCCGTGTTTTCGCAAGCGCGTCGCACATGTGTTGCAGATGGATTGCTCGACGTGCCAAGAGTCACGTGCAAACGTTTCTCAAAGTCTGTGGCTCGCATGGCGCGAGCTTGGCGTGCACATTCAATCCGCCGGTGGAGGTTGGATCACGTGGGTCCCTCGTAGGTAACGTGCAAAGGTAACATGTCACTTTGGCAAGTTTTGCATGAAGCTCCACTTTCACTTTCAGATACTCTTACACCGAGTGCTTGGCTTCCCGAGTAAACCTCTGGGTTTCTCTTCACTTTTTGGATAAAATCCCAACGTCCCAGCAGGTCAGAGGTCTCCTTCACAGCCTTCCTGGACGGAAGGAATGGCAGGCCCCGCGCATCGCGACGTCAATACCGGAAAACGGGAGGAGTTGGGCATGATGAGATGGTAGGACTTTTTTCAACAAGGAAAATGCAAGTTTGAGAAGAAGTCATTTTTTTTTCCGAGTTTGCTCACACGGTAGGAAGTCGGTTGCCTCGAAAAATGGTGAGACCACAATGGGCGGTTGTTGGTTTCCCTTTTCAACCCCCCCAAAAGGGAACCAACTCTGAAGAGATACGGGCCTTTGTGGGGGTTCGCCGTTTTAGTGTTGTGCAAAAGGGAAGCCAAGAGGAACCCGCAACCAGTTTTCAGGTTTGAGTCAAGCTCGCGTGTCGGTTCCAGTGCGGCGTTTGCAATGCAGGCCCCGTGCCCGAGACTTGGTGTCTGCGAAGGGCCAGGCGGTTTCTTTCGGCTGCAACAGAGGTTGCCGTGGATGGGCGAAATTGATTTCGCATCACCTCAGAAGCCCTGGAATGAGGACTCCCCTGAAAATACCGACATCTTTCAAAGTGGCGCGAATGGATTTCGTCCATCCGCAGCATTTCTTGGATTTCCTTGTGAACTCCGCAAAAGAAAGTTGGGTTATGGGGGGCTTTGTGAGGGTTTTCCCCTTGAAAACCCAGAAAGCGCAGGTTGGTCCGCAGACCAGTATGGGAGGCCCAGGCGAGAGGGTCCAACATTTGCGCATGCGAAGTTGCTCCCAGTTTTTTCGGCGAGGTGCAGCCGACAAAGGCGAAGATGCCCTGGGAACCTTCACTGGAACAATCAAAAGCCTGGGCCTGAGCTCGCATTGCCTGTAGAAGAGAAGCGCTCCCATCAGTGAAAGCGCACAATTCCTTTGCAGCTGTGATGTAAGTGTGTTGTGATAGGCTGCATGCCGTCCAAGCCCGTTGTAACACAATTGCTTGCCCGAGGCTACAATGCTTCCAAGGGCTTCGGCTTTATCGTCTGTCCTGACTTGCAGAAGGAGTGACGGTCGAACAGCCATGGCTGGGCCAAAAACAAGGCGGCATGCCGAGCGAGAGTCGTCAGGAGGGCTGGGAGGGCGATGTGTATCTCCACCAGTGGCTTGGCTGTTCAGGCAGATGTTTGCAAGGTCACTGTAGCCTCAGTCTCTGAGGAAGCACGTCAAGGACGTGCCCTTCAGAGCAGGCCCTTTCCCAGTTTTCCCGCACTTCCGACTGCGCTGTGGGTAAGGTGACACGGTGACCTTCGAGGCCTTCGTCTTCCAGGGCCGTCTGCAAGGCCGCAACCTCTCCCCGAGGAGTTGGGTCGCAGCCGCCCGCGTGAGCGAGTTGAAGGTTTTCCATTTGACGTGCAGACAAGCAGAAACACCTGCGCGTGTATGCAAAGACGCACAGGTACATCATGCGAGTTCGCATGTGATGATGCATCCATGCCTGCTTTTTCCTGGTGGAGCCTGTTGCCCTGTTTTGACAGGAGCGATCCAGCGGGCGAGTGGGAATGGGACGGCAAAGGCATGGACATGGCCAAGGGCAAAGGCGACAAAGGATATGGCAAGGGCAAAGGGCCTATGGGCATTAACCCAATGGCCATGAACATGATGATGGCAACTCGGCCGAGCCAGAATCGAGAGCGGTGGGGATGAGTTGGGGATGGATTCTTCTGATTTATAGAGTTGGTTCTAGGAAGATCCCTCTGAAACCGGCGGAGGTATCCTGGACATGTTTTCTTGAGCATGTTGGATGTGACACCAGCATCTTGGCTCTCGGTTGGGCTCGAAGCAGACTCTGAGATCTATGGCTTTTGTTGTCACTGGTGCTTGGAGAGTTTGGATGTTTTCGACCTCTCGGCTTGGGCTATCTCTTTGTCTTAAACAGGATTGGAAAACGCTCAGACTGTCAGATAGAAATCTATAAACTGCTCTTTGGAATTTCCTTCCAGCGTTTGAGTTGCGCCTTTCATCGAGCGAGCATTCCCGTGCGCCGGTCGAGGCGATGATGGGCGGCATGGGCAAGGGCTGATGAGCCATGGTGATGGGAAAAAAGGAGCTCGAGGCATGAGGCGTTGCCAACTGAGCTGCAATCCCCTCTATCGAAACGGGGACGAGCCGAGCGCATCCTCACTTGTTTTCAGCTTCTTCTCGAAGGTGGAAGGTACTGTGGCACCTAGGCTTTATCCCACTGACTGGACCACATGTAGGACCCTTGATGTGTCTGGATGTAGCAAATTCGAAACAAAGAGCCAGGTCTAAATTGCAGGACGTATGCTCTGATTTGGCTCAAGGTGGGTAATAATATGCCCGCCATGTCGCACATCACTGCATGAGCCGGCGGCTGAGCCAAGGATCTTTGGTACCATGTCTGCTGACCCGGCCCACTCAACTGGGTATGTCCAATACTTGGGAGACCCCAAAGCTTGACTCCGGGTTTCCTTTCGGTTTCCCTTTGGCGAATTTCGGACTCAAAAGCACATGGCGACGCGCATCGAGGGTCGACTGGGGTGCTAAGGCGCTGCACCTTAACAGGGCACCACCCTTTGGACGCCGCGGGCGCAGGCTTGCTCCGTGAGAAAGCTCTCTGAAGCTTCATGCGCTTCATGCGCTTCATGTTTGGTCCCATGGAAAAGGGTCCCCCGTACCGATGGAGAGGTCTTGGCATTGCGTGCAGCTCCATCAAGCGCCTCGCTTGGCGCGCGCCTAGAGCGCGCCCCAGGTGCCGATGGCATGGGCTGCTGATACGCGCCCTGCCCAATGGTGCAGGCGCGGGAGGCGACGAGGTCCATCCTCCAACTAGTCTTTGCTGCTTTGAAGAGAGAGCGAGAGATGACTGGACAGGCTATTGCCTTTGCTGGTTTTCATTCACTGCCTCCTCCAGAATGTCCGGGCATGGCGCGCCGCCGTACTTGGCTTGTTTCAGTCGCGGGCTGGGCAGGTGCTGTCATGATGGGCCAGACCCAACATGTAAGGGCCGCCCGTGCAGCCGAACCCGAGTCTTACTTGAAATTTGCCCGTATAATCATGTTTGACCCTGATCGAACTCTCAGAGTTGGATGCCCTCGCGAGTGCTAGTGCTAGTTTCTTTTGCCGCTGTAAGAGAGCGAGAAAGAGAGAGAGGGAGAGAGAGAGAGATAGAGTGAGAGTGAGCTGCTACTGTATGTCTCCAGACTTTGTATCTTGGTGACAGCCTACTATGTAGACGGGAAGCATGCTTGTTTCTCCAGCGGTTATGGCCCTCAGCATTTAATTTGTATCCTGTTGATCGCCCACCATGTAGACCTCCTGGATGCGTGTTTGTTGGCTGTTAAAACTTTTGTAATGGCCCTCAGAACTTGTACCCAACCTTTCCAGCTTGTTCTCGAGCCCCCACCCTTTCCAGGCACTGTTTCCATTGTATGGAGGGGTCAGCAGATATTCGCTCCCACAGTTTATGTTAGCAAGCGTTTTTGCAATTGGTGACTCAGCCGTACATGAGAGAATATGTGTGAAGGTTCGTTCGTGCCTCATTGCCTTTTCGCCTCTCATGTTCCAACGACCAGTTGCAATGTGATTGGACATGCGCCTCGCACGTGAAGGGTTTTGATTCTGACTGCTTGGGCTTTGGGCGGGCCAGGGTGAGAGCGTGCCAGGGTGCTCGTGTCTAGAGAGGGCGAGGTCACACTCCTCGGTCCGGTGGACATCGGCAGAGCCGGCACAGATTGACGCCTGACATTTTGGGTGGCACCACATGGCTGGGTCCCCCAAATGGATTTGGCTTCCGGGATTCCGATTACCACTTGTCGTGACGGGCCCTCGCTCCAGATCCTTCCTTCAACCAAGACGCGAAGCTCACGTTCAGATCGAAGGGCGCTAGGCAGGGATCATTTTTTGGCAAACTTTGGGCGTCGGGGCGGAAAGCCATCGTCCATGCGAGGCAATGGAGCATCGGAGTGGATACAGTCCAGAGACCCATGGACATTGCCATGGCCCCAGTGCAAGGGGAAGGGAGGACGCATGTGTCAGTCTGATGTTGGCAGTGCTGCCAATCGCAGGCTATGTTGTGCCGTGAATTTGTATTTGCTTGGCACCAGACACAGGGACATCTTCACACGTGCCTTTGAGAAGCGAAGAAAAGCGCGTCAGTCTTTGAGTCCTTTGCGTTGCTTGCAGGTCATCATGTCAGAAAGACTGGGCGGACAAACTCCATACATGGTCATCACCCAGGACAGGTCGCAACGATGTCGCATATTGGTCGGATTCTGTCTGGCAGGCAAGTTGTGAGTCATTTTCGGAGTTTTGAATATACATGTTTCGAGGAGCAGGAGGCCTTCTTCAACATGTCGCTCAGCGTCATAGATCAGGTGCAGCTTGGCTCGACCATCTCGGTATTCGACGCAGCAGTGCTCGGCAGCACGCTGTCCGTCTTATCGGATGTCCGGCTCGGCACCACCCTCTCTGTCTTCGACGCCACTGTCCTGGGCAGTATCCTCTCAACCTACTCGCGGGTCTGCTTCGGCAGCACCCTCAGCGTAGCGGATCAGGTGGACTTCGGTAAGTCACTCTCCGTGAAGGACTTTGCCCGTTTCGGCGAGTCCATCTCGGTAGAGTGCAGAACCTACTTAGGCAGCTGCCTCTCACTTGCAAGCTTTGCACGACCCGGCAGCACTTCATCTGCGTCCGGCATCGTGCGCTTTGGTTCCTCCCTCCCCGTCAAGGACTTTGCCACGCTGGCGAGCTCGCTCTCCGTGGCGAACTTCGCGCGGCCCGGATCCCCGACGCCCGCCTACGACTTTGCACGCCCTGGGAGCCCCTTGCCGGCCTTGGACTTTGGCCACTCTGGCAGCCCGTTTCCCACGTGCAGCTTTGCACGCATGGGTAGCTTGTCGTCGGCCTACGGCACCACACGCCCTGGCCCAGTACTGCCTGTCCCAGATCCTGCCATGGCAGACGCATTCCTGCTGCCACATGGCTTTGCATAGTCAGGAAGTGCGCTGCTGGCCTATGGCGTGACGTGTCCCGGGGCCTCGCCGCCTGCGCTGGACTATGTGCAAATGGCCGTGCCCTTGCTGCTGCGCAGCATGTGTCATGTGGGTTCAGCATTCCCAGCCTTTGGGGTGCAGCGATTCGGCTTCTCCACTTCTGCGCTGGACCTTGTCCACATGGGCGCCTCCCTGTCTCTCAGGGGCTCCTCGCGCTTTGGTTCCACGATTCCTGCCTACGGCATGCAATGTCCAGGACCGTCCTCGCCTACCCTGGACCCTGTGCATTCAGGCGCTGCCCCATCCTTGCGCAGCTCCGGTCGCCCTGGTTCGCTGATGTCAGCTTACGGCATGGCCAGCCTGGGCTCTCCTCTGTCTGTGTTAGACTTTGTGCAGCTGGGATCCTCCTTCTTGCCGTGCAGCTTCTCGCAAACTGGCAGTGCCTTGTCAACCTATGGCATGGCAAGGCCTGGCTCGCCCATGCCGATCTTGGACTTTGTGCATTTGGGCCCTCCGCCTTCAACTCGCAGCTTTGCACGCTTTGAGCTGCCCACGCCTATCTATGGCATGGCTCGCTTGGACTTCTTGTTGCTGGTGCCAGACTTCGTGACCCCCGGCAGCTCTATGTTGTTGCGAGGCTTCTCGAGGGTAGGTTTGTCAGTTTTCCTCTATGGCGTAGTTTGCTTGGGTTCATTCCTGCCGGCTCCGGATTTCGCATCCTTCGACCCTTTGGCGCCTCCGCGCAATTCAGTTTGACTCGGACCATCTCTTCCTGCCTATGGCATGGTCAGTCCAGGCCCATTTCCGCCTGTGTTGGACTTTGTGCACACGGAGCTGACCACGCCGCTGAGGGGCCTCACACAGCTGGGCAGCTCATCGCCCGCCTTCTCAGAAGTGCGCATGGGCAGCATCTTGTTAGCCAGAGATAAAGCAGAATTCGGCAGCCCGATCGCCGTGCAGAGCTTTGCAAGGCTCGGCTCCTTTTCGTCGGCCTATGGGTTGGTCCGCTCTGGTTTGGCCACGCCTGCCCTGGACCTTTGCGCGCTTGGTAGCTCGCTCCCTTCGCGGAGCCTCGCGCGTATGGGTCTTTCTCTGCCTCTCTTCGGGCTGGTTCGCCCGGGTTTTGCCACGTCTGCGTTGGACCACGTGCAGACCGGACCGGCAACTTCGGCAAAGACGCTGGGCCGCCTCGAGCTGTTGCTGCCTGCATTCGGTTTGTTGCGATCGGGCCCTGCCACGCTGCCCCTGGATTTCATTCACGTTGGCTTGCTCCTGTCTTTGCAAGGGCTTGCACGCCCTGGCCTGCTTTTGCCTGCCTATGGCATGAATCGTCCTGAATCAGCACTGCCAACTCTTGACTGCTTGCACCCCGGACCCATGTCGCCGTTGCATGCATGGGGCCGTTTTGGCCCGCCTTTGCCTGCTTACGGCATGGCCTGGCCGGGCTCGTTGTTGCCAGCGTTGGACTCCATCCATTTGGGCTTCACGTCCTCAATTCGAAGTTACTGCAAGGCAGGCCTTGCTTTGCCTGCTTGTGGCATATCATGCTTTGGCCCGCTCACGACCATTTCAGACTATGCCCTCATGGCATCCTCCATGCCAATTCGAGGACACACCAGAGCTGATCCGATACCGTCAGCTGTTGGGAGAAGTCGCTTCGACAGCTCGTTGCTGTTATCGGACTTGTTGCATCCAGGGCCTTCCATGCCCATGCGCAGCCTGTTTCAAATGGGCTCCACCTCCTCGGTCTTCGGCACAGCATGCTTTGGCAGCCCCTTGCCGTTGATTGACTCCTCCATGATGGGGTCGACTCCTTTGCCAAGGAGCCCCTTGCACATAGGCTTGGCTTCGCCGGTTTTCGGCATGACTTGTCTTGGCTTTCCCTTGCCGGCGCTAGACTCCATTAATCTGGCCTTCACCCCGCTTCCCCACAGCTTCATTTGACCCGAGCCCATGGTGTTGCTGTTTGGCATGGCTTGCTATGGAAGCCCTGCACCAGCCGTCGACAGCTGCTTTGTTGGAAGCTCGATGCCACCGAGGAGCCATTTGCAGCTCGGCTTGCCGCTGCCAGTCTCTGGCATGACG